CTCACACACACACCCCACTCACACACACACCCCACTCACACACACACCCCACTCACACACACACCCCACCCACACACACACCCCCCCCACACACACACCCCCCCCCCACACACACCACATACCACACACACACCATAAACACACACCACACACACACCACACACACACAACACATACCACACACACATACCACACACACACCGCACACACACACCGCACACACACACACACCACACACCACACACACAGACACCACACACCACACACACACACACACACCACACACACCACACACACCCCCCACACACCACACACACACACACACCACACACACCACACACACCCCCCACACACCACACACACACACACACCACACACACCACACACACCCCCCACACACCACACACACACACACACCACACACACCACACACACCCCCCACACACCACACACACACACACACCACACACACCACACACACCCCCCACACACCACACACACACACACACCACACACACCACACACACCCCCCACACACCACACACACACACACACCACACACACCACACACACCCCCCACACACCACACACACACACACACCACACACACCACACACACCCCCCACACACCACACACACACACACACCACACACACCACACACACCCCCCACACACCACACACACACACACACCACACACACCACACACACCCCCCACACACCACACACACACACACACCACACACACCACACACACACACCACACACACCACACACACACACCACACACACATACCACACACACACCACACACACACACACAGAGACAAACAGAGAGAGAGAGAGAGAGAGAGAGAGAGAGAGAGAGAGACCCTTGGTTTTGGTTTTCAATGTCTTTCTTAACCTACCCCCAGAGTATGACCTGGGTTTACAAAGCCAGAGTTTGTCCCAGTAGTGACTGGAAAAGCTGAGTCACCACTGGGAAAGAGGCCATTCCTGTAGCAGATGAGGAGACACCCCAGGCTAACCCATCCCAGGACTGGAGCACCTCCCCTGGCCTATCCCCTCCCACGGTGGGTCACTAAGTTCTCTTCATGGCTGAAGAGACATTAGTGGCACTTGTTGAGCGTGTTGCTGTTGGATGTTGATTTTATCAAGAAGCCACCAGACAACATCTGACATGCCTTTGCCCCTCACCTGCTCACTCGAAGGTTATTTTAAACCAGAGCTTAATTTTTAAGAAATCCATAATGAATCTTTTTTTAATCTCTTAATCCTCTTGCCTAATTCTCTTTTACATTAAGGGATTAAATCCTGGAGAGGAGATGTGGCCAAACAGTGACTCATTCTTCCTTCAGCATGCTGTCCCCAGAGGCAGATAGAGAGAAGGCACGGGTGGTGCACACGGCTCAGCTCGGAAATCACCAGAATCTGGGCCCATTTATTCCAACTTCCCTTTCATGGTATGGAAGAATTCGTCTTTTAGGAATCCTCATCTTGCTGCTGTCGTATCTACCGTGGAGTATTCTATCATGAGGCTGATCTTGCTAGCTCATGGTCATACACAGTCTGCCCTGTGCTGCTTGGCTCATGGTAGGCTGGGCCACACTGAGTCATTTGAAATATGGCCCAGTCCCCTGAGAGCCTACTCATTTGCCTGGTGATGGACCAGGGTTAGTGAAGAAGCCGACTCTGGGGCCCATGGAGAGGGGCTGGCCCTGGTTCACTCTGGTCCCCAAAGCAGCTGAGAAGGATGACGAGAGGCCTCCAGCTGGCAGAATAGAGCCTGGGCAAGTCCATTCTCACTACAGAACCTGGGAAAGGTGATGTTCACAACTGACCACCCACCTCCCTACTGACCTCACTGACTACTTCCTGTGTGGGCCTGAGCTGGTGAAGTGTGTAGTGATAGGGCTTGAAGAGTCCCTGCTCGGGGACCTGCAGCTTTACTGTGTCTGAATAGGACCTGGAAAATGTGCCTTCCATCTTACTCCTTACAAACAGCAGCCTGTGAGCAGGACAGTAAAACAGAGCTTGGCATGCCATGATTGAGTGGTGTCAAAGACTCCTCCCTGAGCTGCCTGGCAATGTGGCTTAACACCCAGGCCCTGGGACATCCTCCTCCGAGGCAGGGCACTGAAAGCAAGTGCCACACAGCAGTGGTTGGGTGCTCTGTCATGTAAACACACACTTAGCCTTGCGTTTCACTGAACTGGCCTGCCTCACGATGAGATCGTTGACCTCAGATAACAGTGCTGTCCAGTTGGACTGGAGTCTCTCGACTTCAAACTCAGAATTTGCCCGTTTCTGTTGAGAATCCCAGCTGCAACCTTGGAATCTGCTGTGAGAGCAAGGGTGTTAACCATAGAGTGATGAGTAGATGATGTGACCTCTCAAGGATAAAGGCAGGAACAGAAAGGTAGGAGGTGTCTAGGGAATTCAGAGGAGCAGGTGACATGTTCAAGTCTCCATACTTGAACTGTGTTCCCTCTCCCCTCCAGCTCCTCTGACATGCTTACATGCTCCAACTGAGCTTCGTAATCTCCAAAAAAACATGAGGGGAGGAGAGGAGAGGGAGGGAGAGAGGGAGGAAGCAGGAGGAGAGAGGGGAGAGAGGGGGAGGGGAGGGAGGAGAAGAAGAGAACATCTTTGGGCTGAGGAGAGACCTCAGTGGTTCAAACACTTTCAGAAAGACCAAAGTTCAGTTCTCAGCGCCCATGTAATCCTAACTCTAGAGAATCTGACGCCTCTATGGACACCACACTCACATTTGTACGGGCACACATAAACACACACACTAAAATAAAATAAATCTTTCTTAAAAAAGAAAAGAAAATTCTCAGCCAGGTATAGTGGCTCATGTACTTAGGAAGGTGGAGATGAGGCAGGAGGATCAGGTGTTCAATGTTATACTTGGCTTCGTGGCAAGTTCAAGGCCAACGTAGACGACATGAGACCATGTTTCAAGAACCAAATCAACAAAAAGAAAAATGGGGGTGGGGAGTAAGGAAAGGAAAAGGAAAGAAGAGAAAGGAAGAAAATTCCGTTAAAAAAAAATCCTAAGGTCTCAAATTGGGCAAGTTCAGTTTAGAAGAGTCAATTTTTGCCAGGTGGTGGTGGCGCACACCTTTAATCCCAACACTTGGGAGGCAGAGGCAGGTGGGTCTCTGTGAATGGAGACCAGCCTGGTTTACAGAGTGAGTTTCAAAGCAGTCAGGGCAACAAAGAGGGAAAAAAAATGTTAATTTTCCCTTACAAAGACTGGCTAGAGTTACTTTGGATCTGCAGAGCAGGGCTTAGACTGTGTTTCCTAAGGATATCCCCCACCTAAGTCTTTTCTGACAGGCTGGGGGCTGCCAAGGTATCTACACACTGAGCCAGCAGGGCCCACCCCTCTGTCCCCTCCCCTTCTCCCAGATGAGCATCAAGCAGACCCCTGACGCTAAATGAACTACTACTTTGATGTCAGACACCAAGAGTGGGGCTGGTGTACAAATGAAGGAAATTCCATGATTCCTTCGGAAGGTCTCATAAGCGAGTCTCCTAAACAACCATTAGACTTCATGCAGGAGTCTAAACTAGAGGTGTGTATGGTGGGTTGTGGGCACCCACAGGGGTGTTCACTGTAAGGAAGGGAGGGGCTCCAAGGGACAGAGACTTGACACTTAGGCTGCAAAGGACAAAACATCTGACAACAGGGGCTTAGGTAGATATTTACTATCTCACAGATAAGAATCATGGAGGCAAAAGGCTTGAGATTGACTGGGCTGAATGCTGTTTATGTGTGCGCAGGACTGGAGAGATGGCTCAGTGGTTAAGAGCACTGACTGCTCTTCAAGAGGACCCAGGTTCAGTTCCAAGCACCAACATGGCAGCTCACAACGGTCTGTAATTCCAAGATCTGACACACTCTTACAGAAAACAGGCAGGCGAAACACCAATGCACATAGAATAAAAATAATTAAAAAAAAGAAAAAAGTGTGCAACTGTGTGCAGGAAGGGGTTTATTCCTTATGAACTAACCACCTCAGGTTGTTGGTGTGTGTGTGTGTGTGTGTGTGTGTGTGTGTGTGTGTGTGTGTGTGCATGTGTGTTTAAAGATTAATTTTTATTTATGTGCCTCTGAACATATGTATCTCAAGAACAAAAACAGCAGAAGGAAAGAAAGAGGAAGGAAAAAGAAGGGCCTTCTGGGAAGGCAGCAAGTGCCCAACTAGTCCCCCAACCTTTCTACATTGTTTTGTGAGGCAAGGTCTTTCATTGCCCCCCACCTCCATGAGCTCTGCCTCATGTTTGTGTGTGGGTCTGTACCTGCTTCCATCAGTTGCTGGGTGAAGCCTCTATGATGATAATTGGGCTAGGCGCTGATCTATGAGTATATATAGCAGAATGTCATTAGAAATCATTTCATTGTTTTGTTTTTGCCAGTTGTGTTTGGTTTTATCCTAGGTCTCTGAGCTGCCCAGCCTCTGGTTCCTGGCCCTCCAGGTAGTGTCAGGCATAGGCTCCCTCTCATAGTGTAAGCCTCCAGTTATTGGTTGGTCACTCCCACAAGTTCTGCTCCACCATTGCCCCAGCACATCTTGCAGGCAGGACAAATTATAGGTTGAAGGTTTTATGGCTGGGTTGATGTCCCAGTCCCGTCACTGGAAGCCTTACCTGGTTACAGAAGATGGGTGGTTCAGACTCTGTATCCCCCATCACCAGGAGTCTTCACTAGGGTCACCTTCATAGATTCAAAAATATGTAACACTTCATGAATTTGTGCATCATCCCTGAGCAGGAGCCATGCTAATCTTCTCTGTATAGATCCAATTTTAGTATATGTGCTGTCAAAGCGGGCACCCAAGGTGAGTTTACTGCAAACATTTTATCGTTCCATTTGGCATTTCTGATCCAACAGTTCTGTAATTTTCTGGTACATAAAAAATACCTCAAGGTTTCTAGAATCTTCTAAAATCTAAAATCTAACACACTCTTCCAAATCTGTTTATTTATGAGGCTTCTGTAAACCAATACACTTCAGTTTTGCAGGTGACTGCCTGGCTACTGTGGGAACACTTTCACTACCATCCCAAGTCCAGAGGTGATGCTTCTCCATCGCAACTAACAAAAATAACAAGCTTGGTCAGCTTCACCTGGCTTTGACTGCTAAAGCAGGGTGCAGCCTTTAAAAATGCTTGCATCACATGAGGGTAAGGCACTTGTGTTGAAGAAGCAGCGGGAAGCTGTCCAACTCAGAGTGGAGAAGAGGAGTAAATGGTCTCTTGGTGCTGTTCAGTATTCAACCTGAGAGGCCACGTTGGGGAATTCTTCCTCATGCAAACCCCAGGAAGGAAAATACCCCATGAGTCTACCTTTGGACCACAGCAAAAATGTTCTGGTTTGGGGGAGGCGATATTTATTTTATTTTATTTGGCTTTTTTAAGATAAGGTCTGTCTACATAGCCCTGCTTGTCCTGGAACTCACTATGTAGCCCAAGCTGGCCTCAAACTCACAGAGCTCTATCTGCCTGCCTCTGTCTCCAGAGGGCTGGGATTAAAGACATGCACTACCATGCCCAGCTTAAAGAGCTTTTTGCTCAATTTCTTCGCAGCCTTCCTTCATGGTGTATTGTATTTTTCAATGATATTACCTGTTCCATACTTGCTTTCACTGAATAATTCATTATGAATATTTAAATTTTAATTCTTTCTTTCTTTCTTTTTTTTTTTTTTTTTTTTTGAGGTAAGGTCTCAAGTAACCAGAGCTGGCTCCAAACTCATTTTGTAGCAAGGGATGACTGATTCTTACACCTCCTGCCACCCTCCCCCAAGGGTTGAAATTTCAGGTGTAATAAACAGGAGGCCCAGCATGAGAGTGAATATAAGGGTAGTGAACCAGGGGGACTTAGCGAACCATCC